CAAGCCGTATATTGTTTATACCTTTTATACCTCGGACCTCTGTTACGTATACCCTTATGCTTATAGAACTATTACAGAGTACTATAGTACTATTATTACACCTAGGCCGTTAGCGGCAATCTCGATAGATACGTACTATAAGTTCGAGTACTAGGGTATTTAGATATATAGCGCAATCGACGTGTACGCGCGGTATATAGAGTAGATTTACGTTAGAATTACTAGCAGATCGGCCGTTTCGGTACTCGCTTAGTATATCGCAACCCTACGCTATAGTAGATACGTACCGGTAATTATACGCTCGGATCGTAGAGGTAAGACTATTCTAGCCGCCGACGTATACTATATAGTACGTTATATCGCTTACGATATCGAGAATACTAAGCGTAGTACTCGCGGCGAGGCCTCGTTACTACTACTACGATTCGGTAAATACTTCCGATATAGTATAAGTAAGATGAATTAGCATATCGAGGTATAGTAGAATTAGTAGGCTAAGGCGCTAAATAGATAGCGCGTATACTTCTATAGCTTGAATACTACGAACGAATTTGACCTAGAGTTATTAGGCGATCGTATTGCCTTCCTAGCGATCTATACTACGATTCTCCGCGAGATAGTAGTAGGATTCGTAAAGGTATAGAATTACTATAAGATTCGGAGGCAAAACAATCGGCTATACTCGATTCTAGGTATTCCTTACGTATTATAGTATTATCTAGAGCTCTATAGCGCTACGCAGCAAGGTATACGTATACCTAAGGAGGTTCTATAGACGCTCGAAGGGATACTAGAAGGGTTTGGTATATATACTCGCTCTACTCGTAGCCTACTTAGTACTCGCTAACTTAATACTATAGACCTCGAGGCCTTTCTTCCCGCCGATACCTACGAATAGTACAAAGCGAGCCTCCTCCCCTATAGCTTCGCGCTATCTATTAGTAGTACGTCGTACAACGTAGCGACCGGCGACCGTACGTACCGTACGGCCTATATTACCCTACGTAGCCTAGTAAATAACTATATTAGCTTAGAACAATAGCTAATACTCGGTATGCTTCTAAAGCTATTAGTAGCAAGAGATTAGATACCTACGCGCTAGACGGCGGAAGCATTTAGAGATACTAGTAACGCGCTAATCGCGAACGAGGATTTAGGTATTATCGAGTTCTATAATAATCCGTAGGCTATAGGGCTAGTATCTCCCCTACGAGTATAACTACGAGCTAAGCGAGCTAAGCCCTCTAGGGTATATATTACGGTACGTACTATTATTTAAATTCTTTTCTATATATATATATATATACTCTCTCTCTCTACCGACCTATTTACTATAGCCGACAACCTACCTAGCCTCTAGGCTAAATACTGTCTAGTCGTACCGTCGATTAGATATAGCGTTATATTCTATAAGTTCAATTTCTGCTCTTAGTACTATTAGCTCAATCTAAACCCTCTACGTACTAAATTCGTACGCGAACTATTACGCGTACTAGAAAGTAGCCGTCCGGTTACTAGATAGCCGCCGCCGCCGCCGCCGCCGTAGCCGTAGCCGTCGCGATCGTAGTAGCTAGTACCTGTGTACTAAGTAAAGGTTAGTTGCCTTGAAACGATCTATATAGCGAGTACTTAGCGACGGTTAATAGGGTTTCTAGATATTCGCGAAGATTCTGTAGTACGTAAATACCGTACGTAACGAGGCTAATATCGCGTTTAGGGCTAAGGCCGCTATAGCCGTCGTACCGTACGCCGGTACGCTACCGCCGACTATACGTTAGCAGCATACGCCGGCCCTACTATCGTCGCGGTTAAATCCGCTGCCTCCGGCTATCTCGTTTAGTATTAGCGTTATAGTATATACGTAGCGAGTTACTACGCGAGCTCTAAAGAATAACGACGAGTAGAAGTACTACGATCCGGTTGCCTATACCGACCTCTATAACTATTAGACGGATCGCGATCGAGTAGCTAATAGCGCTAAGAAGCTATTAATAGAATTTATACTTACGCGATTCGAGCTAACTAAGTTACCTATATAGCCTATTATAGCTATTAAAGACTTCTACAACGTATTCTTCGTACGATTATTCTATCTAGAGACTAATAAGCCGAACCGTATATTATCTATACGTATCGCGAGTACCGACGTCCTCGAGTCTATAGAGGTATTTAAAATACCGCTACCTAGCAGATCTACTATACGTACCTACGAAGCTATTATCGTCGTTTAGTAGTACAAACAACTAAGGCAAAAGCGTAAGGATAGGGAGGGTACTATAGTATTACGCGCGATACTATTATACGCAATACTATTACGCGCGACACTAGTAGCGAGCGTAGCGAGTAGCCGTATAACGCCTATAGTATTAGAAGTCCTCGAGAGTATCGAACAGCTCTACGCCGATAAGTACGACGACGACGACGAGGACGACGACGAGCTTAGCGAGGCCGACGACGACGATAGCGTACTAATTATTAAGAAAGAGAAGGTATTATAGACAGAGAGCGTAACTAACGCCCGTAAGCTACCTAAGTTTGTCGAAATCGATAGTAATACCGATATAGACAATACTTATATTAAGAAAGAGAAGGCATTATAGACAGAGAGCGTAACTAACGCCTATAAGCTACCTAAGTTCGTCGACTTAGAAGCGACGCTAGTAGCGAGCGTAACGAGTAGTACTGCCGGTACGGCGATACTAGTAGCGAGCGTAACGAGTAGTACTACCGCTACGCCTACGGCTAAGCGATATAAGCTAGCGGTTCTAATCGGAGAGAGGGCAATAACTAGAGCGCTAAGTAAGAAATAAATAAATCGCTACGCTCGCTATTAGTATCGATAGATATAAGCCTATAGGGCCTCCGGGGCCTAACGCTACGGCGGTTACTATTGCTACCGCCGGCGCCGCCCGGTATTACTTATATAGAGCGTAGATACAAGTAGAAAAGACTAATTTTTATAGCTATCTACTACTATCGACTTATATCTACGACGGTATACCTATATTATAGAGTTTGCGTAGGGTCGGCGGACGATCCGATTAGTCGGATATGCCCGGCGCTAGCTTATATTCGCTAACTCGCTATAGAAACGCTATAGATCGCGCGTAGCCTACCTAACTTGCTATACTCGCTATAGTATATCGCTACTATATATATAAATAGGTAGGTATATATATACCTATCTACTGATTATTCGTACGCGGAATCGTAGTCGATTCCGGTATCGATACTCTACCCTACGGCTATACCGCTATAGCTATATTGTAGACTATACGCCGGAGCTCGTCGACGTATAGTATAAGCTACTCTATCTAATTCTCTAATTTGCCTGTCCTATCTTAAACGGTCCCTACTATAGCCTATAGGCTATCGACTATAGCCTATAGCGCTTTAATAGTAGCCTCTAGCTAGGCGATTCGCTGCGAATCGCTAGAGGAATCGTTAACGGGTATCCCGGCCTAATAGCCTAACTTAGTATATCGCTTGTAGTAGGCGTAGATAATACTATTCTTTATATCTACCTTATACGGCGCGTCGCGTAGACCGCGAGTATACTAGTAATACGGATCTAGCGTATTAATACCCTCTATAGTCTCTATAATTCGGCTAGCTTAGTCGAACTTCTATAGGTTATTTTTCGCGACCTTCTTCTTCGTCGCGTCGTCGCCTATAGCCTCGTCTAACTAGCCCTACTATCTTTCGATTAAGTAGAACTAGAAGTTGCTAGAGTCTATAGTAGTAGGCCGGCGCAGGTATAGATCGGGGGTATATACGGCCCTATATATAGCGAGTTAGTAGAGATTCTAGTAGAGATTTAGTAGTAAGTAAGGCTAGCCTATCTAGTATCGTCCTCCTTATCCTCCTCCTTATCCTCCGAAGTATCCTTAGTATCGGTATCCTCGTCTATAGCGTCGCCGTTATTTATCGTAGATATATTCCTACCGAGCGCTACTAAAGTAGTAGATATAAGGAATCTATAGTATATTAGTAACGTACGAGTTTACTGTTTACGTACTACGTAACAACGTACTAAGGTTCGAATAATATAGTTATCTACGTCTATAGCAGTAGAGGAGAGAGAGTAGACGTATTATAGTAGTAGATTCTTTCTTCGAGTTGCTATAGCGACGGCTTTGTTATATAGGTAACTTATTATTAAGACGACGGATCCGGCGACAAAGAGAGAGGTAAGGTAGCGACGGATACGGCGGTAACGGCGAGGTAGGCGGCGAGCGTATAGCGAGTGTGTGTGGTGGTGTATAGTAGGTAGAAGGGTAGAAGTAGTAGGAAGATGAAGCCAAAGAAAGCCGGGGGTGACGTGTGGCGGCTGGCCACTTTGGGCTTCCGTCAGGTACATGTACTTGTGCTGCACATGAGCTCCTCGTGCTAATCAAGAATTATATGTGCTCCATCAACTGTATGGACGAGATGGACAGCGGCAGTCCCAATGGAGGCAACCAAGGTCAGCGACATTGATCCGTCTCTCTTCAAGCCTACCTCTGTCTATGCAAGCCACCGCCCTCTTCGTCACCACCGCACCAACTCGTTGTTTCATGATCGCACGCCCGCAGGAAAAGACATCATCAAGTCGAATGACGGGAGTCAGGACAACGTGGCGAAGCAAGGGTGCTGCCTATGGGATTAGTCTCCACCTCACCTGAATCGGTCTCTATTGAGCACCTCTCTGTGTGCCGCCAGAGCCTCGACGTGCGATGAAGAGGCCAGGCGCCCAAGGCATATTGAACGAGGCATCACAGTGTAGGGGCGCTTGGGATACGCCATGATCATCTCGTCCATCCATAACGATGATGACAGGACATGGAGCGAACGCTGCTCAAAGTCAGTGGCAGCAAGACATGTCCAAAGCGTACCTCAATAGACCGTATTGCCATTCCACAATGGCCACAAATAATATGTCGGCTATAGAAGAAAGTATACCCATTTTTTGTGACCCTTCTGACCCATTGGCATGCACGAATCAGTCACCTCAAGCTATTATGGGCTTCCTGTCGTTGTGCGTGGCTTGCGGTGGTCTAGCGATACTCGCGCATGCAGGATTCCCTTCGACACCCCAAGGACTCACAATCAAGCAGGTAACGAGTAAACCTGGGGTCTCCATCTCGTACAAGGAGGTAAGAGGATACCAGTAGCAATATAATAATACTACCTTACCTACGCTGACTATGCTAACCCCAACCAGACTACAATATGCGAGACACGAAGTAAAGGCTATGCAGGATACGTTCATATACCGAGCGCACATCTGGACGACTCTGGAGATGGCGACTCGTATAACATTTCGATATTCTTCTGGTATTTCGAGGCCAGGAAACGGCCCCGTACCGCACAGACAGCGATATATCTTGCGGGAGGACCAGGCATATCATCAATGTTTGGAGTCACGCTATCTGGAGGACCATGCACTGTGCTGCCGGACTCCAACAGCACTGAAAGCAACCCTTGGGCATGGAACGAGCATGTGAATATGCTATATGTAGATCAGCCTGTTGGTACAGGTTTTTCGTACGATGCCTTGATCAACGGCACTAAAGATTTGCTGTACAATGGAGCTGGGGACTTCTACGATGTGACGCCGCTGGATGCGTACGATGGATTGCCACCTCGCGAGAACTTAACGACCCGCTACGGCACTTTCTCCAGTGATAACGCCATGCATACTGCCAACAGTACAGCAAACGCGGCCCGTACTCTTTGGCAATTCGCTCAAACTTGGTTCGTCGAATTTCCTAGATACAAGACGTCGGACAAGCGTATCTCGTTCTGGGGCAACTCCTATGGAGGTTATTATGCGCCTTTCAGCGCAGCATACTTCCAGGAACAGAATGTCAAGATAAAGTCGGGGGCTCTAGCGGCACACGTCCTGCCTGTTAGCACAGTTGGGTGGACAAATGGATGCGTTGACATGCTCTATCAGGCGGAGTGGTATCCTCAGATGGCAAACAACAATACATATGATCTGCACATCTTGCCCGATGATGTCTATGCGGCGGCGAAAGAATCATGGAGCACCGAAAATGGTTGCCGAGATCAGATTCTAGCATGCCGCGAAGCAGGGAACGCCTACGATCCGGATGGTTACGGCAATAATATCAGTGTCAACCAGCTATGTCTGGCTGCCGAGTATTACTGTGCCGCGAATATCGTCCTCTTGCCCTTCTCTTCATCCACGACTCGGTCCGCGCTGGACTTTGCTCATCTTTCTCCGGATCCGTCACCGCCATTGTATCTACTGGGATTCTTCAACCAAGCATGGGTACAGAAAGAGCTGGGTGTACCGCTGAACTTCAGCAGCACGTCCTACCTGGTCTATAACAACTTTATTGCTGGCACGGCCGACGCGTTCCGTGCAGCGGGTTTGAAGAAAATTGAATACCTCCTCAATCAGAAAATAAATGTCGCCATGATATATGGAGATCGAGATTATCGCTGTCCATGGAATGGTGCGGAGAAGCTATCACTCGCAGCAAACTGGACTGCAGCTCATGCATTCCGCTCAGCGGGCTATGCGGACATCAAGACCGGCGACTGTGGAAACAACGTTGGAGCTGTACGGCAGCGAGGTCACTTCTCCTTCAGCCGAGTCTTCCAGGCTGGACATGACGCGGCCTTTGCACAACCCCGGACGACGTTTGAAATCTTCACTCGAACTATGCTTGGCTACGATGTCGCGACCGGAAAGCACTTGGTAGACGACCGCTACACTACCAAGGGCCCGAGAGATACTTGGCATATCAGAACACCTCTACCGCAGCTACCGCCTGCGTTCTCTTGCAACATCTATGCTGTCTCTACCACATGTACGGCGGAGCAGTATGAAGCGCTATCTGCCGGCACGGCGGTCATAGAAAACTCCACTGTCATCTGGCCCATTGGCGGAACTCCTGGGAATCTCGCCGGCTTGTCCTGAAGCTCCCATATTGGCTTACGCTGGCTGATATTGGCTCTTGAGGGAAATTGAGTCCGCTTTGAATATCAATAGAATGGTTCAATACAAAGTCTAATTCTTGCCGCGCCAGAATATCTACTATTACCTCCTGACTGAGTAACCTAAGCACAGCTTTCCATTGATGACTCTATTATGTTGATGTGACTCCTGGCATCATGCACGTGCAGCATTCAGCTATCGATATAACAAGGTTTTTGGAACAACTAACAATTCAATTCAAGGCTACCTGATATAGCGCTCTTCATAGCCGCTTAATTGACACAACCAATGGATCTCATCCTACACTTCAACCTATCATGATTGGACGGGTGTTGAAATAAGGGATGAGATCTATTGATCATAGCAATGGAACCGCTATCAGCTGTGCTATATACCCAAGGCAGCCATTCAATCAGATGGCTCAGGTAGTCTCTTCTCGAGAGTAAGGAACGCTCGGAATATAGTGTACCCCGGGAGTCACAGAGGCAGAGTGGTAGTAGAGCTTCTACGAGAAGGTGATACCTTTGGGGTATTCTCGAGAGTAAGGGAATGCTCGGAATATACTTAAATATCAATATCTCCCGCTCTCTGGAAGGTCGTGTATCTTTCGCTTACCTACCTATTCGCCTTTTACTCGACTTCACTAGACCTCACTTGCCTTTACTAAACTTTAGTGGCCTTTGCTAAACCTCATTTACCTATATGAAACCTCACCTACCTTTACCAAACCTCACTTACCTTTACCAAACCTCACTTACCTTTACCACACCTCACTTACCTTTATTGGACTTTACGTCCAACCCTCACCCGCCTTTACTCGACTTCACTCGACTTCACTGGACTTCACTGGACTTTACTGGACTTCACTGGCCGTTACTACAACCTTCTAGCCCAGCAACTATGCAATGTATCGGGAACCTCGTTATCTGCATTATGGCTATTCTCACCGCAGTTGATGGACATTACTCCCCTACCCCCCGGACATTAGTGACAATGGTATTGTCAAAGCCTGTCGAGGTGTCGCTATATCCGAGACCAGTGAAATTCTCGGCACACACTGTCGACTTGGCGACTTATCCAGTACCAGCGACACTCTCGCAAGGCACTGTCGACATGGCGACTTATCCAGTACCGGCGACACTCTCGCAAGGCACTGTCGACGCGGCGACTTATCCAGTACCGGCGACACTCTCGCAAGGCACTGTCAATATGGCGACTTATCCAGTACCAGCGACAGTTTCGCAAGGCACTGTCGACATGCCGGCATCTTCAATAGCAACAAATGCAGTCGAGACGCCATCTGCTGTAGGGACGCCATATACTGTTGGGACGCCACTTGCTGTCGGGACACCATCTCCAGTAGGGACACCACTTGCTGCCGGGACACCATCTCCAGTAGGGCCGCCATTTCCAATAGGGACGCCATTTCCAGTAGGGAACCCACCTGCAGTAGGAACGCCATTTGCAGTAGGAGCGCCATTTGCAGACGGGTCACCATTTGCAGCCGGAACACCATTTGGCTCAGGTATGAATTTGTCTCCCTCATCTAACCCAGCCTTTTACTAAAAAACCTCGTCAGAAAACTTCCAAGCCCAGACCACAACCGCTCCCGAAGCCCTCATCACTCCAGCGGCTTCCGTGCTCAACATAACAGTAGAAGTCGCCTCCACGCCCATTTTCGAAACCTCATGCGAAAACCTGCCCGGCATGATACTCGCATACACGACAATATTCTACAGCACAACGAATATCACCGCTGCAGCATATAGTCACCCGGCCTCGAGCAGAGTTTGTCTCGTTAACTTGGGCATGACCATCTCACAGAAAAGTTTGCCGCCCTCCACCCTAACGCACACGGTGCACTGGTCTGCCGAGTATGTGGTCAATGTCGACGAACAAACCTCTGGTCGTACGAATATCTTTCCGGATCCAAAGGCATCAGGGATGAAACCTCAGTACAGCAGTACTTCACAAGGCAGCTCGAAAACCGGTTCTCTGAATACGACTTCGACGGCAGCTTCTGGCGGCAGCGCTTCGGGATCGCAGAGTGGAGACAATGGAGTTGGGTCAGGGCCTCAGAGCACATCGATGATGAAGTATCAGGAGATCGCCGTTACTTCATCAGCGCAAGGTAGCTCGGAACATGTCCTAGGTGCAGCAGGTGGATCTGCAAGTGCTGCTCCGTACGAATCTGCAAATGCTGCTCCGCACGAATCTGCAAGTGCTGCTCCGTACGAATCTGCGAGTCCTGCTTCGTACGCATCTGCAAGGCCTGCTCCGTACGAATCTGCGAGTCCTGCTTCGTACGCATCTGCAAGTCCTGCTTCGTACGAATCTGCAAGTCCTGCTTCGTACGGATCTGGAAGTCCTGCTTCGTACGGATCTGGAAGTCCTGCTTCGTACGGATAGACGACTTCGTTGAATCAAAATCAAAACTACATGTGTCTTGCCATTAACGAAGCGTTCTTCTTCTTCAGAATCTTCAGAGTCTTCTTCTTCAGAGTCAACACCGCGATAGCCCCAAGCACGCCAACCAGCTCTAATGGCGCGATACTGGCGAGACGACTGGCACTAATGAGAGAGACGCTCAACAGCACCGCAGAAATACGGAGAGCAGTAAATATGATCGTCGAAATTCCGGCGATACCTTACTGACTCAAATGCAGTCGTACGCAAGTTACGACTATGTTATCCGGTTCGAACAAGGTCGCACCGAGATTGAGAGCCACCCTACAGACCGTCCTCGGGGTGAATATAGTGGATCTATGCTGAACAGAACGTAGAAGGAGAAGAAAAAAAAAACAGGCGGCCGGGAGTGGGGTGGCACCGAGTGCGCAAACCATCACGCAGCGTCGCACCACACCGCTCTTAGCATCTCGAGACGCAGGGACGGACACACCACACCGCACGCTGTCACCGCAGCGTGATAACTACGCTGCCAGGGTTCGAGAAGAGGTGAACGTATTTCTCAGCTCTGTTCTAGAGAACAGTATAAAGCAGGGTCTTGGCTCTCAAAGGCGATTGGAGGACATGTTGAGGTGCTGTCGTCCTATCCGTTCCCAGGGACGAGTGAAAGAGTTTGAGAAGTTTGAGAGATAGATTTCGACTTTCCTCGGGGCTGTTTGAAAAATTTCTTTCACGAGTTCGCTCTGATGTTTGTTGTCTTCTCTTTCTCATGACAGCCTAGGGCGAACCCTTTCTGCGTGGTTGTGAGCTGCTGGAGAACTAATCATGTGCCCTGAAAGCGGTGCGAGGATATCCGCTGAGAGCAATGGTACGAGCTCGGCCTTGTTCCTGGTTGAAGTGTCTGGTAGCTTTTTCTAGCCGAGACATGGAGAAGAATCAATATTCACTTGTTGAACAATACAACCTCCCCCAGCTTTCCACTCCTGATCCTCTCCAGTACCCTCTTTTCACTCATCTTCATTTCCACGCAAATCTGATCCATACAACATTTGCCATCCAAATACGCTCGTAATCTTTCGTCTTGCTCCGTCCTCATCTGATCCGCACTCCTGTGACTTTGACTCAAGCTCGAAGGATGTGGACCCGAAGGAGGTGTAGCCCAGCCAGAAGACAAAGCAGCTCTCTTCCACGCACGATCATACTCTCGGATAGCCTCGTCTCCCGATCGAGGACCAGAGCGCGCGAGCCTGGTACCACCAGAAGAGCGAATACCAGAGCGGGTGGAGACAGGTGACAGAGGGCGGCGTTGGTCTAGCGCAACAGCGTATTTATGGATGCGGCGCAGGAAGCCTTTGATGATTCCGAAGGTGATGAGGCGGCGGATGTCGATGTTGATGATGTCTGGTTTGTGAGTGAGGCAAAATTCTTGGAGTTGAATGCCTGGTCTCAGACCGGCGTATAAGAGGATGATGCGATCGCGCGAGGGAATGTCTGATTTGTGGTCACTGGCGGTGTCTGGTTTACGCCCATCAGGAGAGGACTTGCCGTCGTCTGCTTGATCTGGGATAGCCACGTAGTGTCGACACTCGTCCTGCAGATCTGTATCGCTGACGAAATGCGTGAATTCTTCGGTACTCGTATAAATTGCTTGGAAATGGAAGATATCGAGCAGGATGGCTCTACCATGATGGACCAATTCCTTGACGGCACGTTTGACCAGTTTCAATTCCACGTCTGACAGTTCTGCAATCTTGCGGACATGCCTGATGCCATCGATGTGCTCATGAATCCTCTGCAGGGTGAGATCCCACGTCCACTCGCCCTGCGTTGGAATTGAGCGTACCAACAGCGGCACATCCCAACTTCTGACCTTCTTCGGCGACTCAATGGCAAATTGTTTTTGCAGCTCCAGCCGCAGGTTCAGCACGTGTATATCGTCCTGCCCATCCGTATGATCCACTCGTATACACGTTTCACCATATGCGTTCATATCCTCAAAGATGCGCTCTAACAGTGTGTAGACTCTGCCTGGGCTGTCTCCCGGATAGCCCGCTTCGCCCGCCAGCTTGAGGCCAGGTAGGTCCTCTTCCGTCTGGAGTATGCAGCCATTCCACTCCAGTCCCACAAAGAAGCGGGCAATCTTCCGGAGGATCTGCTCCCAGGGCTTAGCATCGTCGTCTTCCGCGAGCACTAGACAGACGTTGAAGGTGAAGCGGTTGCGGTGGTAGTGTTCATGCTCGAGGGTGATGGGATAGCCGAGCACACGATAGCCATTGTTGCAGATGGACAGCGGCTGGTTGCAGAGGTCGTAGGGCGCGATGATGTATGAGGAGATGTCGCTCCAGTTCACGAGAGTGGCATGCTCGGCAGCGGATGACTTGATGGTGTTGTTGGGGTACTGATGGATCACCGACGGGCCTCGTTCGGGTTGAAAGCGAGCGTAGAAGATGGCGTGCAGCATGGGATGGATCGTAGAGACGTTATGGTATACCTGCTACATGGTGTATTAATCTGTACCTGCTATTGTTTTGGCGGAGTGAACAAGAACATGAAGCTTCCCTCTCCAGTTCTCCACTCTACTCCATTCCCGACTAGTCTTGTTCTAGACTAGTTCTAACACCGAAACCATTGATTGATTGATTGATTGATTATGTAATACCCAAGATTGATCTCGCAGACATTGCCCTGCCATGCTATGCCATGCCATGCCAAACCAATGATGCCATGCAATGCCACGCCCGCTTTTTACCTATTTCTCTCTGTATATGCCGATAGATGCCGATGGATCATGATGGAATGCAGTCTGATTGATGCATTGTCGCCGACATTGTTTTGCCTGTAGATGTAAGTACATAGAGGTGCCAGGAAATCATTGTGGTGCTTGGTCACGTAAAGTCATATACAAGGCATGGGGTTTGCGAAAGCGAGTACATCAGGTATACATGAGGTTTGATATAGAGCATGAACAATGAGAAGTGCAAGTGGCCTCGTCGTTTCATCAAAACGTAGCATACAGTCTGAAGTACAGCTACGGTACAGGTTTTTTTATCTCAAGCCCTTCTCTCTCTCGAGGATGTGGTAGTGTGTATGTGAGGTAAGCTGCAGTAGCTTCCCCCTGCAATTCACAATTGCTGGAATTGTCACGACGGCAAAAATGAAAAGCCGACCGTTCCTTTTTTTTTCTCATGGCTCGTCACAAAAAACAACGTCGTATGACATTTAACGGCAGCAGTAACCACCGTCAATGATGAGATCGGCACCAGTCGTGTAGGTGGATGCGTCCGACATGAAGTAGACGTAAGCGGCCTTGAGCTCCTTGGCGAGACCGTCACGGCCCATGGGGATCATGGAGTGCCACAGCTTCTGCACGTCCTTGGCCACGAAGTCGGAGAGACCAGTGTCGATGTAACCGGGCGAGATGGAGTTGACACGGGCAAAGTCGCGCCACTCGTTGGCCAGGGACTTGGCCATGTGGATGCAGCCGGCCTTGGCGACGTTGTAGGATGTCTGTTCTTGTGGGAAGTTGGCAATGTGGCCTGACATGGAAGATGTGATGACGAGAGATCCCGTTCCGCGCTCCTTGAAGTGGTGGCCGACAGCCTTGGCACAGTGGAAGGTGCCGTTCAAGTCAATCTGGACGACGTGGTTCCAGGCCTCAACAGAGCCATCGAGGATGCCAGAATCCGCAGTGGCACCGGCGTTGGCGACAAAGGCGTCAATCTTGCCAAAGTCCTGGATGACGTCCTTGACGAGCTTCTCCACGCTCTCGTAGTTGTCGATCTGGCACTTGTATGCCTTGACCTTGACGCCATACTTCTCCGCAAGCTCTTTCGCGTTCTTCTCTCCGCCCTCGGGACGGGAAGCGTATGTGATGGCCACGTCGGCACCCATCTCAGCAGCTCCGCGAGCAGCCTCGATACCCATACCCTTGGGACCCGAGGCACCAGTGACGACGACGACCTTTCCCTTCATGGAAAGCATGTCGAGGAGGCCCTCGGCTTCTGGGATTCTTTGGACCATCTTGGCAGATTGTGTGGTGGTGATGTTGGAGCGTGGTATGGGATGAAGGTGATGGTTCTGTTGACAATGTGATGATCGTCAAAGAGATGATAGTAAGTATGATGAGAGAGAGAGAGAGAGAGCTTCGGACAGGAGGGGAGAGAGAGGAAGATTTTAAAGCTCTCTGGTTGAGGGTCGAGCGACAACACTACGTAGAGTCGGTAGGCAAAGCAGTCCCATTGCTTGCTGGGGTGCCCCTCATCAGCCATCATACCAAGGTAGAACTAACGACTAACGGGCATGGTGGGGCAACAAGACCTCTCCTGACGATTGGATGTGACAGAGCTTTTGTTTTTCCCAACCTTTTTGCTTCGTCTTCGTGTATTATTTAATTCACTTGGCAAGTCTGCATGATAATAACCGATGTGAGACACTTCTCCAACGGGCAGTGCTGGAAGATGGAATTCGGCCATCATGTGACAATGAATGTAATGTAGCTGTATCACACCTAGGAGGTAGGAAATGTAGGTATACCTAGGTACGGCACGGTACAGTACAAGTACATTGTGTAGTTCTAACTACATCCGTGTATGGATGGAAGCTCGTGCGTCATCGAATAGAAGAATCTCACGGCTCCTCCGGTCCCATCTCGGCCGTCGACGTGGAGCAAACTCAGCAAATGAATGGTGATGGGTGCTGTAGCCTGTGGGTAGGTGGTCAAGTGGTGAGCATGGCATGTGGGAATACCTCCTACTAGGATTCATGTTCCTACGAGCACTTCCGGTCATCATTCTTGCATCTCCGTGAATGGATGATGTCTCACTGTCACGATGATCTCCAAAGACAAAAACAAAAGAAAAACACCAGGAACAGGGCAGGACGCTCGGACTCTGCTCTCTGACCTTTCTCCGCCACTTCTAGAGCATTCGCTGATCCATTGTGTCTTCTCCTCTGCTCAAACGCTTCATCCTCCGCCAGACGAGAGGATAAACACCAGAGTGTAGGTACCTCCTAGTAACCGTAGTATCGATCGATACTCTGCAATTCCGACATATCCCTAAACTACCTCTGAAGAAGCTCTGAGCTCCCCTGGATTTTTTTCTGCCTTCTGCATTCCGACCAAGACCGAACTTGGCTGACACACTGCCGTGCAGGAGATGCACAGTGCTTAGCTCAGCATTCAGTGAGCAGCGAGGCTCATGATTGGCAACCTGATGCAGATAGGTACAGGTACTTGAATGCAGTACCTAACCTACATGTGTCTATCTAAGCTCCGCTCCCAGTTCGAAGTAACATGTCTCAAGCGAATGCAATCCAAATTGGCGAAGGTGGTATCTCTAAATTTATCAAAACAGCAAAACCCAAAACTCCTGCTCTCAATTCTCGTCTGGCACGAGTACGTGCAAAGCACAGTGGAGTCTGAGAGCGTCTCCATATGGCTTTTTCAGCCCGGGCGAAACGCCAAACGCCTTGCTGAAATCGAATGTAAAAAGGCCATATCCACCCAGGCCCCAAGAAGCCAGTCGACAATCATCCATCGAAAAGTACAACAACATACATAACCCGACTAATGTCCTTCGTTCCCGCTGCTGTAATGCAGCAGAGGCCACGGTGCTTGTGCGCCATCACTCACAGGCAGTTGCAAGCTCCCCATCTGTGCCGCCGCAACCATATTCCCATTCGTGCCATCGGCAGCTTTGCCTCCACTCAATGCCAAGAGAGACGCTGTCGAGTGGCCCGCGTGGCCCATGTAGTCGTTAGGCATGATGGTATCTGCAAAGTGCCTCCAAGCCACTGGCCCGGCTTGTGGATACGTGCCAACCTGCTCATTAATGCCTGCCGTCGGCGGCGTCTGGTCGAAGCCATTGGACGGCTGGGTAGTAGGTGATTGAAAGGCCGCGAGGAAGTTGGTTGGTGCCGAATGTGGCCCGACACGTGATGCAGCAGCTTCTGCAGCCTGCTGGTCTGCTAGCGAGTTTACGCGCATCAGCTGTTCTTCGAGGTTCGGCTTCGTGTCGTCCGCATAGCTTGTAGTGTTGTACCCATTCAAGCCCCCTGGTGGATAAACATGGGACTCATGTGGCGCTGGGTAGGCATACTGAGCGGTCGCTTGGTACCCGTGGTTCTGTTCGTCGTGAGGACTGACATAAGCCTGACCGTGGTTGCCGTGCACTTCTCCGTTGCTGCTGTGTTCGCCGGAATACTGCTCGTTATAGCCATTGCCATTTGCGTATGCTTGAGCATGCGTCTCCCCGGGCGAAGAGGTTGCAGGTAGTGCTGCTGCGGCAGTCTTGGCTGCGATGTGGCGCTGAATGTTGCTGAGTGAAAAATCGATGATTGGGCGAATAGCGGATTGGAGATTTGAGCTCAGACCTGGGTGAGATGTTAGTGGATGTATCGTGAGCACGACATGATGATACTTACCTAGAAGCGTAGCGACTTCGGCCAAAATTTCTAGCCAGGAATCCATATCTTGTTTCAGTCTCTGAAGGTCGGTGGTTGTCATCTGATCTCTGCGCTCAGTATGTGCAAAAAGCGTAGTGAAAATGGCGGCCAAGAAATTTGTGGTCGAGTACCACGTAGTATCTAAAGCATTCAGTCCTTTCAGAGCGATTGCGCATTGCAGGAGCTTGCCACTCCAGTGCAGACAGACATCCAAGTTGCCAGAAATTAACTGTGGTGACGTCGATCGGCACAACGCAGGATGATGCAGCAGTAACTGGCATTCTGCGACTCCCAAGTCCAAGTATAGAGCGGACACACGATCCTCGTCACGAGTCTCTGGGCCGCCTCGCAACTCCGGTGGGATCTGAGCCTGAAACGACTCCAGCTCCTTCTCGAGATGACGCACGTTCGTTTCGTACTGTCCTGTCGACTTGATCGAGTATATGGTGGAGTAGACCTGCATCATGACCTTGAGCAGCTTGAAGCCTTCGATACTGGCACGAAATGAACACTGCTTCCAGCTGTTGAAGTTCTCTTCTGGCATGTTGTCTGGTATCGCCTCAGGCATTTCGATGTCAAAGTCTTCCAAACGCAGAGGCATTGGCCGGCCGAGCTTGCCACTCAGGTGAGCATGGAATATGAGTATCGTCCAGAACGTACGCTTTCTCATCTCGAGGTGGTGCGGGTCCTGCTGGACGCCGGAACTAGGCCATGCTTTTGCGGATCGATGCAATCCAGATTCGATGGCCAGGCCGAGCACCAAATTCGTGAACATCCACGCCGCGCCTGGCCGAGGCTGATTGCGTAGCTGTGAGCAAATGAGAGTGAGAGCCTGAATGTCTGCCAGCGTGTGACCAGTAATGAGATCTGGGATCAGGCTGCATGCATAGTGATAGTGGCTCATGGAATCCTCGCGGGCTTGTTCGTTATTATTGCGCACGGAGAATTGAAAATTGATGACAGTGAGGACCATATGGACCATGACGAGCTCAGCGGAATTAGCCTGGTAGTTTTCATGGTAGATCTTGTAGATCAGCGCGAAAAAGTCAGGCTTGTGCAGCAGTGGTATGAAGTTCTGTATGGAGCGAAAGTACCATTCGGCGTACACCTTGCACTGCTCGTAGGCAGGGAGCTCGGGACGGAATACCTGTTGGCGGCCGAAAGCATGCAAGAGAAAAGTTCGGTAGGACATGCCACTCTGTGCTGGGTCGGAATCGGCTGGCATGAGCTCGACCAAGTCGACTTTGGTGCCAAATAGAGCAAGCGAGGTGCCCTCAATCGGGCTCAACCAGCCGTTCTCCGACGAGACGCCCAGATAATTGTCTCCAATGCAGCCTGATCTAAAGTCTGGCAGTAATGACCCTCCCTGTGGTGTCTGTCGATCGTCGCGCATAGGCGAGGCCGCGGTCGCGGTCGCGGCCAGCACATTCTGGCTCTGTGCCGGATACACAGGGCCATTATTCACATGCGAGTCTTGCTGCTGCTGTTGCTGCTGCTGTTGTCCCCAGTACTGTCCATAATTGTTCTGTGCGGAAGGGGCCTCTTTGGGCTGGATGCCGCCGTCTCGTAATTGCTGCTGTAGCTCGATGATGTACATCTTCATGGCCGTGTTCTCATTCTCAATCTGCTCCGTGTGGCCGCGCGAGGTGGCGCGTCCCGTGATACGATCGGTGGTCCTACATTCCGTATTGTTCTGAATGCATGGCGAGCATCCTCCAGGTCGCGCATCGCATCGTATCTTGCGGACCTTGCAGCGATCGCAGGCCTGTCCTGTCCTTGTCGAAGCGCCAGATGCCTTCTTCGGCTTGGTTGCGCCGCCAGCAGAGGAAGTCGACGAGGTAGGCGCATTCAATTGCGGTTGCGGTTGTAGTTGCGCGACGGCATTGGGAGGATTGTTTTCGTGGAGAATGTGCTGCGGGTGGGCGGAGAAGTCGACATCGGTGCGAGGGATCTTGTTGGGCGGCGGAATGTGTGCGAGATCGAGGTCATGACTGCTGCCGCTGTCATCGTCGAGGTGATCCCGCTTGGCGAGGGCGGTGTTTGTGCTCAAAGGCATCTTCCGGTGTGAGGTGGAAGTTGCCGTCGAAGGCGTCGGTGTGCTCGCACATAAGAATCGAGCCGCGTCCGTTCGATGATCGGGGGAGTGGGCACTCGGCTAGTTCTGAATGGTACCTTGCTGTAGTCTATAGCCTACGCGACGGACAGGTACCGCTGTTGACCGCCATGCGATTGGGATACTACCTCCTAGGGATAGAGTGTCGGAGAGTACAGTCAAGTAGGTACATGTAGGTACATGTAGGTACCTGAGGCAAGCAAGGTATTTCTACGCTACCTCCTACCTTATGCACCTGGGTTAATCTTGGCCCTGCACTCCGCGTTCGACATTTCACCCAGAGGTTAGGTAAGGTAGGTCAGGTACATGTACACCACGCCCTCATTTTGCACATACCTACTGCCACTTCACTTCACTTCACTTCACTTCACTCTCCATTACCTAGTGTTCTCCTCACTTCGGCAATGGAGACAATATCGCTTCCGCATCTGCCAGATCACCCGCTGCATGTGGCGCTCTTTGCCGACGTGCAAAACGCACCGTTTCTGCGGAAGCAGCTCCTGGATGGCAACACCGACTTTCAGTATGCCTTTCTCGATGCCTCCGTGCTGCTCTCTCGCACCCACGTGCTCTCTGCCTGCTGGCGAGCCATCAACGACCAGCTGGCCGACCGCATGAAGAGCCATAATGTGCACTCGGAAATTGTCTTTGCCATGTCGCCCAATAATAATGTGTGTCTCCTCCCCCCGGTCCCCTCTGTACCTAGCTCTTAAAGATATATAGACTCACGTGCATATTAGATTGGCGAGTCTTTCCGACGCTTTGGCGTGCAGGATGAGAGCAAGAACATTGTCGCGATCAAGGTCGCCGGCGACAGGTCCGCGGTTGAGCAGCACCTCCTGCAGAATGTGGAAGGCAAACCCACCAAACTATCAGACGAGGCCTTGGCGACCATCCACGATGCTGGCAGAATTCGCAAGATATACCGACTTGACGCACCCAAGAAAGGTGAAGCGGTGCAGCTTGGAAAAGAGGCCGAAGCGTTTGTGATTGGAAGCATGGCATTGAAAGGCGCATGAGACGTCCCAACCTACCTATAAGGTATCTGATTCGTTTGTCGAGCCGACGTTCGTTCTTCGCCTTTTTGCATTGCCATATCCCGTGTGTGGGTTACCCGGCATCACAACTGCACCGTCGTACCAATCGCCTCTGCCGCTGTCACTGAGACATTCACGTCTTGAGCAACAGTCCCACCGCTGACGCCGACCGCTCCAATGAAATATCCATCTGCATCGATGATAGGTTGCCCCCCACCGAAGACTACCAGGCCATCATTTGTTTCTTCAATGCCGAAAAGGTCGTTTCCTGCACCAGGCTGAGACCGGTTGTAGAAACCAGATGATGGGAAGAGGCCATTGAACAGCGCAACAGTTTTGGCTTTCTTGATGCTAATGTCGACGCTGGCGAGGAAAGCGTTGTCCATCCGGAGGAATGCAACGAGTTGCGCAGAAGGGTCTACAATTGCGATGTTGTTTGGGACACTGTGGAGGTTAGCTGGAGCGCTCGAATCGGAAGACCGCACGCAGACGTACCCAATAGCCATCGACTGCTGTACAGCAGCATCGATCGCCGTCCACGCCTGGGTCGCATTGATGTAATGCCGCTGTTGCGGAACAGAGCCCCATCCATTCGTCAACGTGCGATTGACAGTCTCCTGTGCAGACACTACACCCGCCAACAAAGCCAGAGTCGAAGTTCTCATTTTCAAGACTTCTACAACGTACCAGGACCAGCACACAAACCGGATCCCATCTGTCTCACATGCTTCCCAGATTCTACATATATGTATTCTTTTCGTGTCACCCCGCACGCATTCTATCCGAAGCCGAAGACTTTCCCGGAGAATGCATGCTCCTCTTTATGCCCTTTACCCGGCTGTGACAGAGGATTCCTTGCTTCAATGTCGATGTTGATCACATCAGCGTATGCCATGCGTGTGGCTGCTGCAATGATGACTGTAGCTGAGCTCAATAGAGCAATCCGGAGGGCGTGCTCTGCGATTGAGTTTGCGGGGAGGTGGGTGTAGGGTCCAAACCTTCCTGGAATCCTTCGGTCCACACTCTTGGTTCTTCATCCGTTTCTAGTTGCCCTTTCTCTTTCATTTCCCTCCTCTTGAATGGTATGAAGCTGATGACAGAGATAGCTCATCGCATCGGCAATGGCGGCGGAGCATGCGAAGAAGAAGACGACGAGGAGGCGGAAGACGAAGACCCTGTCGAGTCCACTGTCGCAGTCGTCATCGTCATCGTTGTCGTCGCATCACCACTCGTATCTGTATTACTCCAACCCACAGCATTTTGCTGATTTTTATAAACTGCGAAGAACTCACATTATTAGATCAGAATACATGTAGGAAGGTAGGTAGGTACCTAAGGTAGGTAAACTTACAAATCCAACCCATGACACTTAGAAAAAGAATTACGACAGACAGCCAAATAACATAGATCCAATGATCGTCGTAGATCCAGAAAAAGACGTATTTGGCTCGTTTCCATTTGCGGTTGCGGGGTCTACTATCGCTGTTGATGTCGTTGATGTCGCGGGTGCTGATGTGGGTTGCAGAAGAAGAAGGAAGACTATTTCTTCTCCTAGATGGTGAGGTGTGACTTTCCTGCTGTTCTTCTTCTTCTTCTTCTTCTTCTTCTTCTTCCTGCTGTTCTCGTTCTCGTTGATGTATTGGTGGTATTGGAGGTTGTATTTGTGGTTGTAAATGTTGACTCCCTACTATCCCATCCCTCTCCACAACCAGAGTACTTGCAGGTGTAGTAGACGAACTCGGGAAAGAATGCTGTGGTGGTGGTGCCATCATCATCATCACCTCTTTTCTCTTGCTCTTTCTCGCGTATTCCGATTATTCTTATCAAAGTGGTAGTAGTGGTAGTACATCCCGTCACCATTACAGGCAGAGGGGATAAAAGAAAAAAAAACAAGAAGTCAAAAAGGAAAAAAGAAAGAAGAGAAGAAGAAGACCAAGATTCAAACATTTTCCTGTCTTAACTAGTACCTAAGGGTACCTAAGAGTAAGTAACTGTTATGTTACCTTACCTACTAAATCAAAATGCAGTGTTTGCCTAAGGTAGGTAGGTAGACAGGAGGTACAGCCTCTCCCAGCTCCTGCATGCAAGGGACCGGTTGTGGGAATGTTGCACGTGCGAAGAAGACTGTCTCCCTCCCTGGGAGAGAAGAAACCTTGGAAATAAAAAAACGGGTTTGGGAGGTGGGTACATGTACCTGTATGTAGCACGATGGAAAGCGGGAGAGGGAGGGAGGCTTGGGTACGTGAACGGGTGGAGTGGAGTCTCTGTTTCTTCTTGTTTTTTTTTGGTGGTGGTGGCTGGTGTGTGTGTGTAGCAATGTCAGACATGTGATAGAAGAGGAAGTTTGCTACCTGACCTACCTACGTGGTAGGCAAGTATTTTTTGTGGTTTCGAGAGGGTGTTGTATTCTATAAGCAAGGTACCTTCAGGTACCTTAGGAATGAATTAACCAGCCGATATAATCCAAGTATACAAATGCATGAATTTCTGTCGTGGGTCAAGAGGGCAACAATTTGGTTCTTCTTCTTTTTTTTATCAGGAGGAGACTTGTGTCGCCTTTTTTTCTTCCCCCTGGGTGGTCCATCAACGGCCGCCCGCAGAGTTAAGACCAGTTTTATTCCGCTCCCCTAGGAGGTACTGTGACATGGGAACAAACACGGTCTGGCCATTCATGATCCATGGCATCGCGAACGCTCTTTTTCTTTCTCGGTATGCAGCAGTGCACTGTAGATGGTGCTTGGAAGTCTTGTGTGGCGGTTGTGGCGAGAGCCGGTCCTCTTCTTTGAGGTCCACGATGGCAGCTCCGGGAGGAGATGTCTCCGTTGGGGGACGGAGTTGGTAGGAGGTACCAGTCTGCGACGAAGGATTGAGACGGTTGAGGGCTGGTCGTACCGTTTGCAGAATTGGCGTAGGTACTGCATGAACAATTTCCCGGTTGGTGGTTCTCAAGAAAGAAAAGACCTCTCGCAGATCCCGAGATGCCGCCAAAATCCTCATTCCCCGATTTTCCCGATATACCCTTATCGATCATACAGGTACCTCAACCTCTTTCCCCCCTCCTCACATAGGTGTATTCCTCATCCACAAATCCAACTCTTACACCTAAACGCCGTCGCAAAATACAACATGCCCACCCACTGACTACACCTCACATGCATCTCCGGATCCGTAACATTCTTCTCCGCCACACAATTCCCCACCACATTCCCCTGCAAATCATTCACCACATACTCCCCACTCTCCCAATCTCTCACGAAATTCAACTGTCCCGAACCACACACGCCTCCCACGGAACTTGGGTACGGATCGCCGCGTACGGGCGCCATGGTGCCGTTGTGGATGTAGTTGTTGTCTTCGGCGTGGATGAGGTGCGAGCAGGAAAATGGCGAGGGGTCTGCGGTGTTGTTGGAGATGTTGGAGAGGACTTTGACGCCTCGTGTGCATTGTGAGAAGAAGGGGCGCGCGCCCATGCAGACGGATGTGTTGGAGACGAAGAAGTCGGCGGAGGCGGTGGAGGTGAGGAGGGTTGTTGTTAGGAGATGGGGGAAGAGGTTTGAAGTGCGCATTTTTTTTCTTTCTTCTTTTCTTCTTTTCTTTTTTTTTGGTGTTACTGCGTCTGGTGTGTTCTCTTGCTTGCTTGCTTGTTCGATTCCAAAACGACAACGGTAGGTCTGTATGTTCTTGGAAAAGAAAAACAGAAAAAACAGATATATGAGCGATACAAGACCAATACTCTGTTATTCGAAACTTATATCCTATCAGCCTCGCTTGTCCTTGAGAAGAAAAAAGCGACAACAGCAGCGACAGCAGATGAAGAGAAAAAGAGTAGATCACTCCGCCTCCCATCACCAAAGAACTCTGCGTGCGCATCGCCTATGAAATTCCAGACATCCTCGTCCGCAGCCCGTAAGCCCAGCGCGAACAGCCACTTCCACCAGGTTCAAGGGGCTTGTAACATACTTTCAACAAGGGCCTTTGATCGTAAAAAGTAGTCCATCGACTCCAACAACAATCCCTTTGTACAGATAAAAAAAGGATCTCATCATCCCAGAAATCTTACAAGCCCCAGCCTGGTTTCCGAACCAGGTATATTATGGATGTTGCGCGAACCGGAAATTTTCCATGTGCTAGATTTTCTGTTTCTGCATCACATTCGGATCGTATTCTTTTTATACCTTGTTAACCTTGTTCATTACCTTGTTAGGTTGTCACCTGTCAGTTCCCTTGTCATCAAGTCGTCAGCCGGTTGGGGAGGGATCGCTTGAGACGCTGACTGACTACATGTATGATGTACCTTGCATACCCACAGGCCCTACAGGATGTATGAGCTGTTTGGGCGAGCGAGGGTCGGGTTTCGTTGTCACCTGTCTCTAGGTACCCAGGTACTGTACCTTAGCGTGATCCGTAGGTTTTGTTGAGGCTTTGAGAGAAAGCGAGAGATGAACCAGATGATGGACAGTTTGGAGTTTTGAACACCTGGGGTAGACGGTTTGGACTTGGGGAACGCAAATGCAACATACAAGGATTTGGGCGTTCTTAGTGACCAGTCTACCTTGGTGACTTTATAAACTACAAGGTGGCTGACTATAAGATTAAGTAGAAAAATGCAAAAAAGGTGGAAAAGATTAATACCTTGATGTTTCTGTAGATGGAAGAAAGATAAAAGAAAAGCCCCCAGTTAGATGCATACCTGTATTTTGTGTGAATATATACATCCTAAGAGGTAAGTGGAGAATATTTCACGCCCAGGCTCCAATAAGACTCATACAAAACGCCCCAAAAAACACCAACCCCATCGCCACTACCCGTTTATTCCCTCTCAACGTCTTCCACGAATGATCACTCAAAAAGTCCTCTGAAAGCAAATCCACCAAACTCGTATATGCCAATAGACCTGACGAAAAAGCATTAAACGTGCCCACGACCACCAACCCCGTCGCCGAATTCGGATCATATAAATTTCTCGTCGCGATTCCAATGGCTTGGCCCAGTGGTGTCGTGCAGCCGTATGCGAGTGCCATGAGCCAGGGTTGGATGGCGTGGGGTTTCCACGTGATGGCTGCAATGCGAGAGCCCAAGGCCAGGCCTTCGAAGACTTGGTGGAAGGCGATGGCGATGAGGAGGATGACTTGTTCGCTGCCGACCGAGACGGCGAGAGCGAGGCCGATGAAGATGCTGTGGAAGAGGATGCCGCATTCGAGGAGGAGGCATTGTACGAGGAGCTTTTTGCGCTGTTGTTGTTGTTCCGAGGACGATTTTTCGGATTCCATGGGGCTGAGGCTGTCGTTGTTGTTAAGAGCGGGGGTGTTGACGTGCGTGTGGGTAGGCTTCCCTGTGAGCTGCCAGGTGTCGATGTATGGGAGACTTGCGCTCCGCTCTACGGTCTTCATGATGCTTTGGGATCGTCCCGATCGAGTGCGTCCAAATTGGGGAGTGGTTTGAGCTTTGTGCATTGATTAGAACAAGGAATTACTGATGGTACAAAGCAGAAATTCGACTTACCTGGCGTAATCTCCTCCGACAACCCCGGGGGGGTTCCGGTGAAGACCGATCTGACATCTTTCGTAGGACCCACGACAACTTCTTCATCTGGAGATATACCAGAACACAGAGACCGCCCGGGGCTGAATATCATCTCCGCAATCGTAATCATAAAGATCGCAGCCAAGGCAATCGCACCGGCCAGAGCCGGATACTGCTGATTGAAAAACGGCGGCAGACACGGATCTGTCAACGATACAAACGCCGTCGGAATCAGGTGCACAAACGCCGTGGCGATGAGAACTCCCGTTCCGAAATGTCTAAAGCCAAAATGCGCTTTCGCCGGAATGCGAAGTTGGGGAACCTTCAATGCGATAATGGGTAACGCACACGCGCTGGCAGAGACTGCGAGGATAATGAACAGTGCCCCAATGCTGAGAGAGAGATTGTAGTCCTCTTTGCGAGAGCCTGATCTGCAGGTGGTCGACATTGTCGGGGGTACTGGTGGTGTCTTCTATCGGCTGGTTCACGCAAGGATGCGGCTGCTCTCTTCTTGATATTCGGTATCAAAGTTCTTCTCACAAACGAGTGCTATAGCGGGTATGCTGATGATGGGACCAAGGTAAGAGAAGGAGTGGCAGGTCCTCACAGTAGTCAAGTCTCTCCCAGAACGATAGAAATCCCCATACGTTTGTTCCTTGGCTTGGTCGACTTGGCAGCTTGTAGTTCGACTTGGCGCTGCAGTATAGACGGGCGGAGTCGGAACTGCGCAGCACATCCGAGGGGAGGAGAAGATGCATTGGATCTCACGAGGCGGCGGTGTAAGAGTAAGTACGCGATGCTGTTGTTGAAGCAGCAGCATGATGACATTGGGTATCTACGCTCCCTACATGTATATCTTACCTCCCAAGTATTTCTGCGACGCGTCACTAGAGCTGGTCTTCTCGTGGAGTCTGTCCATATCGAACAGGATACACCTGCATCATTAAGGTATGGTAGGTAATTCGTCCTTCGTCCTCTCATCGAGGTCCACGGGCATGTTGATCATGATGAAGACCCATGATTCGCAAGATCAGCTCAATCGAGTGGAATAAGCGTCGACACGATGAGCCATCCGTGATACTTATCATCGAAAGGTCAGAAATGCGGTTTCTTGAAGGATACATGGCGGTAGAGGAGGTTGGTACATGAAGTTGGTCGCTTGCTTCTCCTGGCGGATCCTACCGATATTGCTCTCGTGCCAAGACTGTGGCTTTGTGATCCGTGCAGTGAAGTATAGGTATTGCTGTCATACTAGGAGGTAGGTAGACCAGGCCAAGGTTCTAATCAGATTTTGATTAAACAGTGGACAGATTCAGTTGAATAGTTGTTCAAATGCGAGCGTCCTCTTTCAGTTCTTCATGCAAGAATGAGCAGAATTAAGTACTGCCATTGCCATTGCCAGTATACATGTAGCTCTTCACCACCTCCAACACATTTCTCGCCTTCTCCCCCATCTCCTTCCTCCCCTCCATATCGCCTGCCCACAGATCGAATTCCTTCCACCACCACGAATGCGTGACTCCATCCCTTCCGAGATAGCCCTGTCCGCCGCGCTTCTGCCATGGCTTATCGACAATGTAATGCAAAGCCACCACTTCGTCGTCTCTCCACGCAGCCGAATGCCAGTATCTGTGCGTCTTCATCGCGTTGTACTGCCAGCCCAGCGGTAGCCAGCGATCCTTGAAGAAAACATCCATAAAGTTCTGATCTGGAAAAGTGAATGTTGCCACTCTCGGATCTGTCAATCGGAAGTTGTCGATTCTCTCCCATACCTCCCGAGTCGGTGTGCATACAAAGACTCCGGAATTGAGTAGCTGGTAGGTAATCTCTTGGCCGGGAGTCTTTGCTTGTGGCACGGGAGCCTTCAAGGCGGAGGGGTGAACGAGAGGCGTACAAGGACAGTTCTCTACATTCCATTCGGGAGGCGCCCAAGGGTCGTTGTCCACGTTACAGACGCAGGCATGATGCGCGAGAATCCAGTCAGGGCCGGGGCGGGGTATGTCGAAGATGTTGTCGGGGTTCTTGAAGATCATGATGTCTGCGTCAAGGAAGCATACCGCTTCGGGAGTTTGATGGAGTTGCAGAGCAGCCAGAGTGTGTGAGTCGTCCATCGGCTCGAAAGCGCGGAGCTTCGTCAGAGTGTCATCGAATCTCCCAGCCACTGGCTTGAGGTCTTTTGGAAGACTGATCGGTTGTACTAGCTGGGTCCGACATAGAGGGTAGATGGCGGCGAGGTTTTGGAGGCAGTCTATGCAGTCCTCGGAAAGGGCAGAAGTGTACTGGATAATGATCGGATATTGGGAGCCATGCTTGTAGAGGGAGTGCACAAGCAAGACCACGCCTGGGAGGTAAGATCCTCGAGTAATCAATGTAATCCAGACTCGGGATGAGGGCGATGGTCTCACTGTCTGGCCTACAGCCATATTGACACTCTGCGCTCTGCCTTCTTACCTCCTTCTCCTTCTCCTTTTAGTTCACTTCTAGTCCTCCGTCTAGTCTATGAGTACAGGTACTTCACATTCACATGAATGGCACTGCTGATTTCACGCACTAGCTGGATACAGGTAGGAGGTAATGTATGGCCGCATGTCTGGACGCCAAATGGGATGAGCAATGCATTACGACATGACCTTTCGCTTTCTTCAGGCTGCCTGCAGTGCGGGAAGACTCGTGGTCCAATAGAGTGAACTAACTTAATCAATATTTGATGGATGAGGACCGTGGTTCCATCCAGCTTGGCGAGACTGTGCCACGGTGCCACAGTACCGCGTAGACTCAGGCTAGACTGTTCCTCCCTCGTTCTCGTCCCGCTCTGCCATCCACATTGCATCGGCCATCACAATCAATGGCTCCGGCAATGATGTCAACGATATGGAACTTGCCCATCGGTACTACGGAGCTACTGGACTGTCCTGTATGGGTCGGGGTCGGGTCCAAGCAGCTTGTTTGGTTGGAATGTTGCCAAACTCTCCTTCGACCACGACTACCTACAGTACCCTACCTCCTACCAGGCTACCTGTACCTTGTGCATTCTGGCCGCTAGGAGGAGGAGGAGGAGGAGGCGGCGGCCATGTCAGCAGCTCCCGTCTACTTCACCTGTACCCTGGGCCAGGCGGTGTTGTACAGGACGGCCGACAAATTCACCAACATCAACGATTTCATTCAGGATACCGCTGACACCCTCCCCCACGCCCCTGCGGTCGGGTTCTGCCATCCCGCCGGTCCAGATGTCTCTGAACAATGGGGCCATACCGTGCTGTCCTTTGCAGAAGTCTTGCAGGGCTCCTATGCCACCGCGCAGATCATATCTGAACGAATCAGCATACCGGAACGGGAGACTGTCGCTCTACTCTGTCCCAGCACAGTCGAATTCCTGTTCACATGGCTGGCCTTGATGCGACTCGGCCATCCGGTGTTATTGATCGCACCACAGTGCCCCGCCAGTGCTGTCGCAAGCCTGAGTCAGCAGTGCAACGTCAGATATATATTCTACGATGACATGTACCTAGACCTTGCCCAAGACGCTGTCAAGCATACAGAGGCCGCAGAATGGCGTCTGGAACACCACCTTTTGCCTTTCGCTGCTGGTGGCTTGGACCCATACTCCTTGGCTCGAAGAGCACAACAGCGAATTCCGCGTGCATTTCCTGTAGGAAGTGACGACGTTGCCTATCTACATCATACATCCGGCACTTCATCTGGCATCCCGAAGCCCATTCCACAGACCCATTTTGCGGGTGCCGGTGCCTGTCCTCGACTCGACGGGTCTGGGCACGCAACCTTCACCACCACACCTCTATACCATGGAGGCATCGCTGACCTCTTTCGCGCCTGGACAAGCAATGCACTCATATGGTTGTTCCCTGGCAAAGGTGCCCCGATTACCGCGACCAACATCATCAAGTGCTTGGAAATTGCTCGGACCGCTGACACGCCCCCTGTCGCATACTTCTCATCCGTGCCCTACGTGCTGGAAATGATGGCCTCTGACGACAGAGGACTGCAGCATCTTCAAGCCATGGACATCATAGCCGTCGGCGGTGCAGCGTTGACGTCTGAAGTGGGCGACCGCCTGGTGAGGCAAGGCGTCAATCTCACTTCGAGGTTTGGAAGTGCCGAGTGTGGCTTCTTGATGTCGTCCCATCGTGAGTACGAAAGAGACCAAGCATGGGACTTCTTGCGAGCTCATGGAGAGCTCAGCTTTGAGCCGCGAGAAGGAGGTCTATACGAGCTTGTGGTGCCCCCAAGCTGGCCGCACATCTCAAAGACAGACAAAGTCGGTGACGATGGATCCTTTGCAACCTGCGATCTGTTCAGGCCACACGCGAGCATTCCTAACGCTTGGCGATATGATTCTCGGGCTGATTCGCAATTGACGTTGGTCACTGGCAAGAAGTTCGATCCTGCGCCGCTCGAAGACGCGATTGCCGCCAAGTCAATATCGATACAAGATGTCTTGATCTTTGGCGAAGGCAAACCATACCCTGGCGCCTTGCTTTTCCGTTCCGCTCAGGCTGCCGATAAATCTGACGATGAGCTGTTGAACGAAATCGGCCCTCAGGTCGAGGAGCTCAACCGTGGGAGCCAGCAACACGCTCGAATACCGAGCAGTACCCTCCTCATGATGCCCTACATTGAAACACCGCTACAGAAGAGTAGCAAAGGCACAGTGATGCGCAAGCTGGCAGAAGAGCAGTACGCGTCAGAAATCAAGGCAGCATATGAAGGATCGTCGTCGGGAGGAAGCAGTATCGCTGACGTGGAGGTCGAATCATTTGTGCTTGATGCCGTACGTGCTGTAATGAGCTCTTCAGACAGTCCATCTGCTTCACTACAGTCCGATACCGACCTCTTCGCCTATGGTATAGACTCGGTAGCTAGCGTTCAAATACGGCATGCTGTTTCAAGACTGTTACCGGAGACCTCTGGTCGACTGCCTTTGACTATTGTTCAGGACACTGGATCTGTCCGCAAGCTGAGCCAGGCTCTAATCGACCTGCGGCATGACCGCAAAGTACCCCAAGCAGGAATGGAAGACCCTGCTGAGCTGATGCGCGGGCTCGTGCAACAATACAGTTCGCTCAACTCTGTGAGCAACCCTGGATCAAGCGATTTGCCTACTCCACCTCCAACGCCTGCTTGGCAAAAACACACCCCGGGCAAGATTGCGCTACTCACCGGTCCAACAGGCTCGCTGGGAAGTCAGCTTCTAGGCCAATTGATCAAGTCCCCGGATGTGTCACGCATTCATCTCCTCCTTCGAGGGGCTTCACGATATGCGGCCGAAGAACGAGTAAGGAAGGCTCTTTCTTCCAGACGGATATCGATATCCGCGAAAGATTATCCCAAGATAAAAGTGCATACCTGCTCCCTGTCCGATCCCCATTTGGGTCTCTCGGCGCAGACGTATACAGAACTTGCGCAAGAGGTTGATCTCATCTACCATATGGCCTGGGCTGTGGATTTCATCCTGCCTCTGCCGGGTTTTAGACAGCATTTTGCAGGTCTCCAGGCACTGCTCAGCTTGGCTCTGGCACACTCCAAGTGGACTGCACTGTGTGGGCGTCCTATTCCCGCAAAGCTCATCTTTTGCTCCAGCACTGCTTCTGTTGCTTCTTACGACAGGATTCACCCGGGCATCGAAGTCCCCGAGGAGATTGTCAACCACACCACGAGTAGTGGCAGCATCGGCTACTCTCGCTCGAAGTGGGTGGCAGAGAACATCTGCTCCCAGGCTGTCATGGCACACCCGGAACTCCGTGGTGCTGTCAGCGTCGTGCGAGTCGGACAGCTGAGTGGGGACTCTGTGCACGGCGTCTGGAATAAGAGTGAAGCTTACCCACTCATGATCTCCAGTGCCAAGGTGACCGGGTGCTTGCCAGCCCTGCCGCAAGAGAGTGTCGGCTGGTTTCCTGTTGACCTCGCTGCCGAGGCATTTGTGGAGCTGGGCTTGAGTGGCCTCGAGATGGCTAGCAAATCCGTGGTTGGTGATGTGCGAGTGGTGCACGTACTCAACCAGTGTAGCACACCAACCTGGCGCGAGCTGCTCGAATGGCTTTCGAAAGAGAGCAGTTTCGAGGTGGTAGAGCCATCCGAATGGCTCACTCGCCTTGAGGCATTATCACAGTCTGAGAGTGAGAGCAAGAATCAGCATGCATGTCTGAAGCTCCTAGAGTTCTGGAAGACAGCCTATGGAAGTCTCCCTGATGATGACGCTTTGCAACGGAAACTCACATATAAGACGGCAGAGTCGCTGAAAAGTATGCCCGTCTTGCGTTCTGTGAAGCCTGTAGACGAAGAGTACGCACGGAAGCTGTGGAGATGGATAGCGGAGAACAATTGAGCATACGATGAGTTGGACCGTGCTGCATGATCTGGTCCTCAGGCTCGAGAGCATTGAAATTTGCTGCCACAGAGTGTCTCTACTTCTACCTACACACATACCAAAACTTCACTGGTCAGGATTGCAACTATCGAGAAGTGATCCAATCACATATCACGTTCCGCAAATTCGAAAAGGAAACATTTGGCGTTGAATAGAAGTTTTTTCACTGCTAATTGAGAATGGACGACTTGGTGCGTGTTGTTGGTGTGGTTGATCGCTTGGGGTCTGAGGTTGAGGCTGAGGTTGAGGCTGAGGTTGAGGTTGAGCAGGGAACAGAGGCAGAGGCAGAGGGAGAGGGAGAGGGAGAGGGAGAGGGAGAGGCAGAGGGACAGGCAGACAGGGAGGCAGAGGGAGAGGCAGAAACAGAAACAGAGGCAGAGGCAGATACAGATGCAGAGGCAGAGGCAGACTCAGACTCAGAAACAGATACAGAGGCGTGGGCAGAGTGGGCAGAGTGGGCAGCGTGGGACATGGTGGAACGTAAGTCCGAGACTCACCTCCCAAGATATCCCCTTATACCGCGAGTACTGAACACCTTTCTCACACATAAAACAGACCTCCGCGCAGTTCTTGTCGAGCAGATCTCTCTCGCCGAGACTGACGAGCTCCTCGAGAGCGAAGAGGAAGAGCCGCCCACTTTTAACGAACGTTTCCTCCGCTACGAATTGAGCCATGAGGGCCAAATGGAACTCATGGAGACTCTGGGTGGTCCACTTAACATGCGATTGCCACGTCGACTCCTCAGAACCTTGAAAAGGGCCTGGAAAGACTGGGCACGCCTTGAAGAGATTGAGAGGGAATTATTGTTGTAGCGACAAGTAAGGTTGTCTGGGGAGAAGCGTGTACTGATAGCTCCCATCCCCCCTCTCAAAATAAAGAAGCCCATGAGAGGCTGTTTCTTCACCGCCGCAGAATCCAATTGAAGACGATTGTCTGACCGTGGCTAAAAATTCAAGCCCTCTTTGTTACTACTACTACTACTACTAACAACAGATCCAGTCCAGTCTACTCCAGTCCAGTTCATTCCAACCCATTCCATTCCGTTTCACTCTATCTAACATTAAATAGCCATCTATTTCATCTCTTCTCATCTCATTTCTCTATTACAACCTACCATACCACGTCAAGACACCACCCAACTTCCCCAGAACCCCTACTCGAGATCTACCAGAGAAAGACAAAGAGAAAGAGTTTGAGGAAATAGAGCTTCACCCGCAAGATGGGACTGTTATCAAGCAAGCATACACCGCAGCAGAGGTAGCGTGCTGGGACATTTCGAGCTCCCCCCCCCCCCCCCCC